CTTCGAATTCATGGTCCATATTCTGTCGATCGCGCCTCGGTCCTAGTGAACATTCATGTCTTGCCAGTCATACTATACAGATGCAGGGTATAGGTACATGTACATATTTGCGTATAACGTCCGACTTCGAGTGGCTTCGGCTAGGACTGTGCGACAGGTCAGCCATGCCGCGCAACCTTCACTCCTTCAGTCAACGCTCCTTCCATTCGTTCAGCGTCCATCCTCGTGCATGTTCTCGGTCCAGCTGTTGATAGCTGCCGCGCAGCGGGTCTTCAGCTCGAGGACGCGCTCCTGCATACTGTTCTCCAGCGCGCGAATGATCGACCGTCGCTCGGATGCCGAGTCTGCCGCCCCTGCAGAACGAACTTGCGTGCCAATCTCCACGCGCAGGGCACGTATGAGCGCAATCGCGGCGTCTAGCTCAGGCGATCGCGCCGCAGGTTCGTTGGTGAGGTGCTGGAGCATGTTGGCTGGCGCGTCGAACGCGCCGGCCACGGCTTGCTCGCCGAAGCATGCACAAAGGCAGCGCCGCACGTGTTGGATCTCTGCGGCTATGGTCGCGTTGCCAGATGATCTGGAGAAATCTGCATCTGCGTCGGATAGGGCTGCGTATGCGTCCTGCGCAGAGCTGAAGGAGGAAATGTGCCACGTGCCAAAGAGTGCGAGTGGGATGAAGGCGGCCAGGGAGGCTTAGGGGCATGTCAGACCCACTCGATGTTCAGGATTCAAGCAGGACTTACCTGTTAGCAATGTCCGCCGCCCGCGAGACCTCCCCCTGGGCTCGGACGAGTGTGCTGCGGATGGCGCTGTGGGAGCAGCCTGAGGGCGTTGCTCATCACGGGAGAAGGAGCGCTGGGAGACGGGCTCTGAGCCGGTGGATGAGTGCGGCGAGAGGGTGGATGCGCAGAGGGCGCGCGGGAGAGCGGGGGCGCGCCGGGCGGCGGCGGCAGCGCGCACGAGCGTAGTCATGGCGGAGAGAGACAACGCGGGGTACCACGCCCCGTGGGGAGACGATGCGATCGCTGATGCACGGAGAGCCGGACCGCAGGAATCAATTCTGGCAAGCGGGCCGAGACCGGACCGCAGGACAAGTGTCTTTGGCCAGACTGTCGAGGGGCGCTTGCGGCTTGCTCGCCGACGAGGGCTTTATATGGCTCAGCCCTTGTCTGGGGTTATTTAGCGGTAACGATAGCGAACATTACAGAGGAGAAGCAAAGCCACTCGTCGCAGAACTTCGGGCTTTCATGCCTGAGATCCAGGCGGGCCGCCGCCTGCGAAGGCTGAACCAGACCGCCATAGCCCATACATAGGAAGGTGTCGCTGCAACGTCGCTGGGATGAAAGCCTATGGGCCTTGGCCAATACACACGCCTTACATAAGAGAAGATTTATGGCTTTCGCCCTATCCTGATGTGTGTAGCTTCAGAGTTGTGAGTAGGTATCAGCTAGCAGTTGTATTCTTTGATTCGTCTTGGATGTCCCCGCCAAAGCATTGAATACTGAATGCCCGGGCATGGCTAGTTCACAGTGCCAGGCTGTGCGGCGCATGTTGAAAAGATCGGCAATTTCCGGTTGATGTTGATCCAAGTCACGAGCACCGGCGTGACAGGGCGTGTCCTCCTTTGCTGGTACGCCTGTACTAGTCTCAATCGTATCTCCCAACTCAGAAATCGCTTATGTCTCAGGCCTCAGGCTTTGTGTTTTCCGTCCTTCAGTTATCTATATGGCGTCATAATACGCCCATATCGAGACCGGATGGCAGACAACCGGCGAGGAAGTGACCACCACTCCAGCAGTCCATGTGCTGGGATCGCGTGTATGTTCGCCGTCTCCGCGACTATCGACATACACTGACGGTGCTTATAGGGCCCGAGTCTTCAATCGCTCGCTGCACGCCTGATCGCCGGTGCTTCTTCAGAAGGTGGCCTCGTTCACGTGGCCTGGTTTTCCCGGAAATCCAGCCCAATTCACCCTTATCTTTCCGGAGGTCTCATGAGGATCATTGTGAGCACTGCAGTCACTGCACGCCCCGCCACGCGAATGCCAATATTGTGCCTTGGCCTACGCGCTTCTATCTTCCTCGTCCTCGAGCAGCCGCACGCGAGCGTATGGCAAACCGCGGGCCCACGAGCCCATGAGCGCTGCTGCCCCTGCTTGGCTCGTCGTCGTCTCCTCGTATAAAAGCCTCCCAGTGACGAAGAGTATTCCCCAGGAAGCCTCCCCCAGGATCGCCTCCTAAGCACTTGTCCTCTAGTCCACGGTCGTCTGTACGCGCTCAAGCCTACTCGCCATGTTCTCCTTCGGCAAGATGCTCAACGCAGTCGTGCTCGCGCTCGCCTGCTCGACCGTGAACGCGATCCCCTGGGACGCGACGGTGAAGTACAGCACGCACCGCACGCGCGAGATCAGCCCCGCGCTGACGGTCGAGTCGTACCACCCGCCGACGACGTACAAGGTGGGGTTTGTCTTGGCGCTGCACGGCCGGTAGGGGGTGGGTTGCTGATGGTGTTTCTCCAGACGTTCGGGAAGGGCGTGGACAATGCGCATGCTGCGCGCGTCAAGCGCGATGGCATTGAGGCGGCGTCGACTGCTTTCGTGGCGTCGGAGCTCGGCGTGGACGAGTCGCTTGTCAGCTTCAAGTCCGGGTACGAGGGCGATTCCGCACACTATGGGTACATGCGCCAGGCCCATGTAGGTCGTGCTCTTTACCCAAGATTCCGTGGCGCTGATGTGCTTTGCAGGACAACATCCCCTTCGTGAACGCCGTCGCCAACGTCGCCTTCAAGGATGACAAGGTCGTCTCCTTCGGCAGCTCCTTTGTCCCCACCGGTAAGTTTCTTCTCCTGCGCGCGTTAATTCTTGCCTGATTAACAATGTGCTGCAGACAACATCGCCCCGTCGACGCCCACCATTGAGATCGTCTCGTTCATCTCCGACATTGAGGCGCAGCTGGACGGCCAGTTCAATGACTACTCGAGCCTCGAGTACCTTGCGAAGGAGGACGGCACGGTCGCGCTCGTCCACGTCGTGCAGATCCGCAACGAGGAGGCGAACACATGGTACGAAGCAATGGTCGACGCGCACACGGGCGAGCTCGTCTCGATCACCGACTTCGTCGCCAAGGCGTCGTACACGGTCATCCCCCTCAGCAAGCAGGACCCAACCGATGGGATTGAGACAATCAGCAACCCGGCGCTCACCGCGGCGTCGCCCTACGGCTGGCACGGCACGAGCAGCAGCAACTTGAGCACCGATACCTCGTGAGTTGGCAATGACCAGTGCACTCATGGGATGCGGGGACTGACTTGGGCGCAGGGGCAACAACGTCATCGCATACAAGGGCTCGACGTCGTCTACTACGAAGCAGAGCAGCACTGGTCAGGTCTTCAACTACAAGTACGACACCAGCGTCTCGCCAACTTCCGGGAAGAACGTCCAGGCCGCCACGGTGAACGCATTCTACGTTATGAACAGCCTGCACGACATCAGCTACCTGTGAGTGATGTCGTTTTTTGACATCTTTCGCTTGACCGACTGACAACGGTTGCAGCTACGGTTTCACGGAGGCGGCGTACAACTTCCAGAGCAGCAACTTCGGCAAGGGCGGTGCTGGCAATGACCGCGTGCTTATGTCCGTGCAAGATTCCACCTACACCAACAACGCCGACTTCGCCACGCCGCCCGACGGCCAGTCCGGCCAGTGCCGCATGTTCATCTGGACGTACACCAACGTATGTCGTCTCTCTCTGCGGCCCCTTCGCAGGCATTGACTCTGTTTTAGCCTCGCCGCGACGGCGACCTTGAGAACGACATCCCGGTGCACGAGGGCACGCACGGCATCTCGAACCGCTTGACCGGCGGCGGCACCGGGCGTTGCCTCCAGACGACCGAGGCCGGCGGCATGGGCGAGGGCTGGTCAGACGCGATGGCGGAATGGACCGAGCAGACCAGTTCGACCGTCCCCGACTTCACCATGGGCACCTGGGTGACGGGCAGCTCCGCCGGCATCCGTACCCACCCGTACTCGACGAGCACGCGCACGAACCCGCTCCGCTACTCGTCCATCAAGTCCCTCAACGAGGTGCACGACATCGGCGAGGTGTGGGCGAACACGCTCCACAATGTGTACGCGGCGCTGGTGAGCGAGTACGGGTTCGCGGCGGATTATAAGACGAACGCGTCCGGCGATGAGGGTAACAAGGTGTACATGCACCTGTTCATCGACTCGCTGGCATTGCAGCCGTGCAACCCGACGCGTGAGCTGTTTGCTTTGGTCTAGTCGTGTGGGTACTGATGATAGGTTACAGTCCCGACGGCGCGTGATGCGTGGATCCAGGCGGACGAGAACAGGTACGGCGGCGAGCACGTTTGCACTGTCTGGAAGGCCTTTGCCAGCCGCGGTCTCGGTGTCAACGCTAAGAGCTACACTGACGACACCACGGTTCCGGCCGAGTGCCGTTGAGCGTGCGTCGTCCAGCTATGAACATGTGTCAAGCGACGAAGTCATTCGGGGAATATATGGGTTTTATATTGTGTTTTAGTAACTTGTAACCGGGGGTGCATATGTATTACATGTGTACATTACAGCTGCTTTTATAGAATACTATGAAGAGCTGAATAGCGAATTATCGGAATACGGGAAACGAGCGTCACAAGAGTAATAGTACTTAGATCCAGGGCCAAGTCCCGCTGAATCGCTTGTAAACCACCGACAGATGATTGACCCACTCTTCATCTCTTTGTCTGCCGCCGACTCCAGAAAGTGTGGTCGTTGTCAAGTTCGGCTCACGCAGACTGTGGTACCCATTTTTCTCGGGGCACTGTCTGTCACTGTACAGAACAGAACGTTATCGGTGAATGCATTCGTCCACAATCAACGATCTTTCGATGTGCATAAGTCCTCGAATTGCAGAAGGAAGAGCCGGACGTGGAATTCTGTGAACTCCATTGGCTCGAGCAGTAAGTACTTATGTTGAACCAAAAAGCCTGGCACTCAAAAAGCTCCTCAGCGGGGAGTCGAACCCCGCTCTCCCGCGAGTACAAACGTCTGACGATGACAGGCGGGTGTACTAACCGATATACTACTGGGGAGATGTTAGTGAATGACAGCAAGTCTCTACATACTGAGGAAAGACAATGGAATGTGGCTGTGCTCGGTCCGTGAGTGACATGGTCACCAGACTCGCCTTGCTCTTCGCCTTCTCCATCATCCGCGTCAATGACAATGGTCTCCGGTTATGCAGGTTGCCGTGAGGCCCTTACGGGGGCAGTATTTACGTGCCGCTTTTGCCAGCCTTCTTCTTTCTTCTTGATTTCAACTAGGAAGCCACTGAAAGATGTCACCATGGATCCCTGCTCGTAGTCTCTCCGAATGTCGGTCTCTATTTCTACTTCCTCTCGCACGGCTCATGTATCTGAGCCCCTTACTCCAGGCGACCGTCTCTTGACTGCGCCGGGCTCCCTAACGGAGACCCACACGCGCCTCGTCGATGGCCGCGTCCAGCGCGTCTACACCCATCTCTGGCCATCTTACCGGGCCTTCTGGCTTGAGAGCGCCGCCCGTCACGCGATGCATGAGTACCTCGTCTTTGAGGATGAGCGCTACACGTTCCACGACGCCCACGAGCGAGTGCTGCGGATCGCGGGTCTACTGGGCAAGGTGTACGGCGTGAACAAGGGTTCGTGCATTGGGTGTGCAGTGCGGTGTGGTGACAGAGTAGGATGTGACGTCCCACAGGCAACCGTGTCGGTATCGTCAGCCGGAACTATCCCGAATTCGTGTTTGCCTTCTGGGCGGCGCAGTTGCTAGGCGCGGTAGCCGTTTGCCCGAATGCGTACGTTATTTTCTAGCGTGCTCGTTCACTACGCGCGTTCGCTAACCAAATCTTTAGATGGCTGCCCGTCGACGTAGTGACGCACTGCCTCTGCGTGACCGACTGCAAGGTCATCCTGCTAGATGGCGAGCGCGCCCAAAGTCTGGAGCCCTCGGTCGCCCGCATCAAGAAGGATGCAGGATGCGTCGAGATGCTCGTATTCCGTGGAGGCCCCGACGCGTCCAAGGGTACTGCATGCAACTCGTCCAAGGGCTTGGTGCGCCTCGAAGACGTGCTTCGCGCCTACGGCGACGATGGGAGAAGCGTCCTGCAGCAGGATCCTAAGGTCGAGCCGGAAGATAACGCGACGGTCATGTTCACTTCTGGCACGGTAAGCCATTGCGATCTCCGTGATATAGTTCGTGGCTCATACGAATTTGCAGACCGGTCTGCCTAGTACGCCTTCCTTTTTCTCCCCTACTCAATATTGACCACGACGTTCACATCACAATAGAGGGCGTTCTCAGCTCCCAGCGCGCTGGGCTGACGAACATCTTCAACGTACGTTTACCTGGCCGAGCTACCTCATCGAGCTGACCCTTTTTTGGTGCAGATATTATGTGGGAGCCTGAAAGACATGCTCCGGAACGGTCTCATCGACGCTGTCCCGCGGGCCATCGACTTTCCCGAGCCGCGCACGGTGTCGCTTATCGCGATTCCTTTTTTCCATGTTTGTCAGAGCCATTTTGCTAGGATTTCTCTCGTGCTGAATTGCCATCTTTTCTCAGGTAACCGGCCTGCAGAGCATCCTGGTGATTCATCAAGATCATGTTTTGTGGCGATGAATTTGACTAACGTTCATGCAGTTCATGACGACGTTCATGGGCAACAAGTTGGTTCTGATGAGGAGGTGGAATGTACGTGCAGATACTTCTCTACTTTCTGTGATTATCTGCTTACGTAGAGCAGCCCGAGGAAGGAGCACGGTACGCTTTTTGATTGACAAGTGGTCAAATACTCGGACATTGATATACGGCAGTCTCATCCTGAAAGAGAAGGTCACGACTGTCGGCGGGTGAGTGGGCTCGTCAGTCGCTACGTCTCATATGATCACATTTCATCCGATTTGACCACTGACGTCTTCTATCAGAGTCCCTTCCGTCGTCTCCGACATTGTCAACCTCGCCGAGAACGGTCCTCTCAAGGGCTACCCCCTTCAAGGTACCTCAGTAGGCGGCGCGGCCTCACCACGCGCGCTCATCGACAGGACATCGAAGATGTTTCCTGGGGTGTCAATGTGAGGAAGAGGTTAGCTTGCTGCTTGTTGGCGTCTACTGATATATGCTCCCTCTTCAGAGGTTCGGGCTATGGGATGACGGAGACGAATTCGGTGGCAGTGGGTTCTGGTGCGTGTTCACTCACCAGAAAATCGTTGTTGACGCTGATGCTACGCGGAATAGTTGGGAACGAATTTGTGACGAAGCCGAGCGCATGGTAAGACTGCCATCCATTCATGACTTGTTCGGAACTCAAGGACCTCTCAGCGGCGTGGCCACACCCGTGAATGACGTCCTGATCGTCGACCCGGATACGATGGAGGTGTGCAGACCCGGAGCGCAGGGAGAGGTCTGGCTTCGCGGACCGAACATAATGAAGGTAAGGGGCCGACTAGAGGTTCAGAGATCCCGTCGAGTGTTCTCACAAATTCGCAGTGCTATTGGAAAGACGAGGCCGCAACTGCGAAAGTACGTGAGCTACCATGCATATGTATTCAACGGTTATTGAGAGGGTTGCTGTAGGCAATCACGAAGGATGGCTTCATGCGCACGGGCGACTTGGGCGTCATGGATGCTGAAGGATTCCTCTATATTCGTGACCGACGTGAGTGCCCGGTTTCCTTCAAGTGAACTCGCAGCTGAACGCGTTATGCAGTGAAGGACATCATCATCCGCGGCGGTGAGAATATCGACTCCTCGATGGTGGAGAATGCCATCCATGCGGATGAGGGCGTGCTTGAGGCCGCCGCCGTGGCTGTCCCGGATGACCGCTTGGGCGAGCTCGTGGCGGTGGTCGTAGCTGTCAAGGAAGGCGAGTCACTCTATTGCAATGCTGTTCCCTCTCGCTGACGGTAAATAGCGCATCGCGGGCGCGTTACTGAGGAGGGCTTGATCCAGTTGGCAAAGACAAAGTAAGGGTATTCGACTGACCGACCGACTCGCCTGCTCATCAGAATACAGACTACCGCGATTTGCTGTCCCCGTCATGATTCTCCTGCAATATAACCCACTGGAGCGGAACGCATCCTTGAAGCCGCTGAAGACCGCATTGCGAAAGGTGGCGCAAGCCGAATGGGAGCGCCGTGGCCGAGTGCCCAAGGTCGTGCAGGACTCGAAACTATGAAGGCTTGATGTACAATCGGTAGAATTATGTATATACGAACGAATGCGAGATAGTAGGCAAGACTGTGTGGGCGGGCGACTTGAAGTTCAAGTACTTAGAATGAAAGCCAACGCTGGAAAATCTCACGCGTGGCCGGCAGCGTCATTTCGGCAAACGGCCCGAAACTGTTCATTCCCTTCCTCCCCCATCTTCACGATGAGCCTGCGCACCGTCTCTTCTACATTACGGACAATAACAAGGAGGACGACAGCGTGTCTCCGCCAGCGTCCAACTCTTTCTGCCCCCGCCCTATCACAGCGACCATATGCCAGGCAATACGCGTATTACGCGCCGCGTCCGCCAGGTATCATGCCGAGGCTGCTGTACCGTAATGACGGGGCTCCTCGCTCAAAGAAAGTCGGACTGGTAACCGGTGCGTGCTACATTGACGCAACAATTAGTACTGACGCGCTCGCTGCAGCTCTGCTGGCCCTCGCAGGCGCCGGCATCGTCGTGATGCTTATGGAGGGCGTCTACGATCTCGAGGTCGAGAACTCCGCGCTCCTGAGCCTCATCCTCCTGATCCGCGTCGACACCTATTACTCCTCTATTGACTTCGACGATGACAACGCCATCCTCGAGCACCTCCACCGCATACTCGGCGCGCTCTTCGAGCCCGAGTCCGCTCCCGCGATCGAGGCAATTATAGACGCCTTGCGAAACGCGGATCCAGGACTACGTCGCCGCGCGCTCGACATCGTGCGGGACTCTACGCACGAGATACACCAGCTCCTGCAGCGGCTGGACACGGACGTTGAGCAGGACCCGGCGGTGGACCTCATCCTGATCGCCATCGACGTGCAGTACGCGGCGCACTCGGTCTTGCAGAAGATAGTCGACTCGGAGGCTATGGATGTGGCCCTGCGTAACATCGTCGAGACTGCGGTCAAGCACCGGCCACCGCCGAAGGAGAAGGAGAAAGCGAAGGACTCGGAGTACGAGCTGGTTGCATGACTTTGTCGGTGCGTGTTTTCGAATTTTCTGCTCGAGGTCTTTACTGACGGTGATGTAACGAAGTTTAGACTCCACAACAGTGACAGCAAAAGTATATCAGTTGCGCATGTCGGTAGCATATCTCTTGCATAATAACATTTGGCAATTGTGGCGAGCCACAATGTAACCAGGACGTCGTCGTGACGGTGAACTGCGGCAGACATTCTGCGACGGTGTATTCCATGCACTTGTGTGAGTTTAGGATGGTCAGCGTGCTATGCGCGTGTTTGGATAAAGTCAGTGAGGCAAGAGATTCCAGAAATACCTCGCGCCGTTCCCATTGTTTCGCTGTCATGCTTCCTGCAGGCATGCGGGTATGTGGGATTGCATAAGTGCGGTTCAAAGGAGTACGATCTCAATCAAAACGTGGCTAAGTATATTACTGTACAATTCGAAAGAGGAACAGGCATAACGGACACGCGAACAGGTACGGATTCGACAAGGTGCGACTACTTTGAAGTTTGAGTCGATTCACCTCACTAGTTCTGCACAACATAGTTGGGGCAGTTCCACGAAACTGGGTCGCTGGCAAAAAAGAGATGTTAGTGCCGTCACGCAAGAGATGATACTTGTAAGGCAGCGAAGAACGCACTCGGTTCGCTTGCAATCAGCCAGCTTCTTCACGTAGTACCTGCCGTTACCAAACAGCAGGGTGATCCGATGCTTTGCAGTAGAAACCAAGTGAGCAAGCTTGCATAAAGTTCTGCACTAGGAGCGACTCACTCCACCGGCCGACCCATCTTGAAAACTATAGAACTGGCCGACGTAGCGGACGTCCCCTTCCGTGAACGACCAGTTGCCCTGCTCGTTGTAAGAAATCATGACGGAATAATAGCTAGCTTGGAC